TAATTGTATCCATCAGCAGCATCTTTTTGTTTTTCCAAGGGAACACAGGGAACGCCGTGAACTCGGTGGGATTGTAATTTAATATTAGAACTGATTAAACAGCGATTTCTCATTGAATCGGTTAAACAATCAGGTAAGTCATCCTTTAGGATTCTTACCCTAGCCTGCTTCACATTGCATTTCCCTTAAAAGTGTCTGGTTATTGGAACGCAGCCCTCTTACGTGTCATGTGAGTCAAACTGCCTTATGATTTATAACTGATTTAAGAATATTCTGACCAGACGAATCAATTATGATAAAGCCATTTTTTCATGATCTGTCAACTATTCCTGACAAGATAACCATAGATAAACGTTGCTACAGCTGCAGTCTTGCTAGTCAGCATGTTTCCTGTGTGCCTTCAGGAATCTGATCCGCTTCCTCTGGGATTTTAAACTTTATCGGGGACATTGTCACCGACCTGGATGCTTTGATTCAAAGTGGATAAACTCACATCAATCCTACTTCACGACATTTTGACATGAAAGAAGGATGGAAAATCCTGGTGTATTAACAAGGGTGCAACCTGTACTTAGACCTGCAGAAATGGAATGCGGCCCAATCCCACGAGTCTGATAACATGCTGGAAACATGGAGGCACAAAATTAAGACCTGCTGCTTCCATTTTGTTGAGCTGTAAACTTATATTCATAGCTGTCATTTATTGTTATATTTATGTTAATTAGGCCTCCCAGGAGTGACATTTGCGACAGCTAAGGCACATGGAGAGGTGGGGGTAGCGCTAGACAGAAACAACGAAGATACGATTTTGCCGAGACTTCACTTAATCCAACAAAGTAGCCAGAAAATGCACTAAATGGTCCTCTAGAGTTAACAGGTGATCTAAAGATCGGGCTGTGTTTGAGGCTCTCATGACCTAAACACAACTATAAAAACACCCCAGAATAAGCTGTGCTTGGTGCAGAGCGTGCAGGTGGCACATGACATAAATCTGGTGTTGCAGTGGTTTGCTACAGCACACTGATAATTGCATAGAAGCCATCTGACTATCTGTATACACTCTATAAATATTTATATCATTTATGAATGTGATGAGCAGGTCAACAGAAAACTGCAAAGCAGCCTCAGGACACACATTTAGAGTAAAGTCAGACGGAACGCTGTCATATCTCTTTTATAGTATTTAAGTAATCAAAACAAATGCATTTTCATCTACAGTTATTAAACACTGTCCTGAAATCTCAAGGATACTGCACCAAAAAAACTAGCCTCAGTTTGGATGATGCCAGGTGCAAACGCACGTACCCGGTGTGAACGCTGCAGAAGTGAGACACGGGGAACCAGAGAGCTTTGGGGGTAAATGGTGAATGTATTTTTTCATTAACGTTTAACTGCAGGCATGAAAGCCTGTGGTTGAGAAATAATTTGCTGAGTGTTAAAAGGATCTTTTGCCCATGTTAAAGTGTGCTTCTCCACTAAAGATGTATAAATGATGTAGATAGCTTTCTGAATGGTCTTAGAGAAACAGCACTGAAGGACATAAAGGACTGAGACCGAACTGGATTACTGCCGGCTTAAAACAGAACCAATCTGCAAAATGACCCAGCAGTTCATGCAACATTATTTTATAAACCTTAAGTTGACTGTCACTGTTTGGCAGCTGGACGCCAGATGGCTGGTCACTTATAAATAACTACAGACATCCATGGGAACAAGGTCAAGTTAGCCTTAGTTTACAAACCGACATCAGGTGAACCACTAGGACGTTTAGCAGATTTTTATCACAGCATCCTGAAGGACATACATCATGGAGGCAGCAGGTGGAGCGGGTGGTGGGTTTGGTCCTGCTCCCGCCAAAGAATGCTGCAGTTGTGTCGCTGGGCAACACTTACTTAACCCTCCCTGCCTGCTGGTGGTGGTCAGGTCAGCTGTGGCTACATTGCAGCTCATCACCATCAGGGTGTGAATGTGTGTGTGAATGGATGAATGACACACTGTAGTGTAGGAGTCCTGTGACTCAGAAAGGCCCTAAACAAGTGCGGGTCATGTATCATTATTATAAAAATGCGTCACCTGAGAAGCTGTCTTCAGCAGGAAAGACCGTATTCATCTATAGCTTCCACACAGAAGCACACCTCAAAAGGCTGGCAGGATCATTTGTTTGTTTGGGAGATGCTAACATGATAATCGTGAAGTATCTGATTAACTGACAAAGCAATGAAGTTATTTTACAGCTGCTGTCGTAACAGTCTAGCTTCATGTCTCTGAACAACCTTCTAACCTGGGATGTGTATTTTTGAAATTCTGGCGATACGATACATATCACGATACAGGGGAGACGATACGATATATCACAATATATTGCGATACATCCAGTCAGACGTTACAAGCAATTTTTTTACTGAATTTATTATAAGAATAGACAATAAACAGTCCAAACTGATACGTAACATGTTTAACATGAGGTATCTGAACCATGATGGAGGGATTTACATTTCAATGGTGGAAACAAAACCCGTTGCACACTGCTGCCAACTAGCGGGTGGCGATTGAATTGCACAAAATGAAAAGAAAATACACAAATGTTTGCATGTAAATTCTTTCAAGAATTAGATGAGCGGCTTTTGAATATCGATGTAATAATCGCAGGAAAAAATCACGATATTTTGCCGTATCGATATTTTTTACTTCTAACATGAAGAAGAAGAAGAAAATATCATTTCTCTAGCGCCTCTCAAGATAAAAAACACAAGGCGCTTTGACAGAACATATATTGTGGAGATGAAAATAAAATGAAAAGTGCTTTTCTAGCATTTGCCTAAACACATCCGCTCAGACGGAAAGCAACTATTGGCCCAACCGGTTGTTGGTCTTGCCGAAGTGCCGTGCTTCACTTCCCGGGTCCTCCGCTCATCCCACACTCATGCACATTCATGTATTTAGCAACAGAACTCCACTGGTGTGAGAGGTTCTCTGCTCAATAACATCAGAGAAGGAGAAACAGCTTTAAGTTTAGAACAAGCTAGCGGACTCCCAAAAAGAAAAACACCATCTGAAGTCACGGACGACGTTGTTTCTCCCGTTTCCTCTGGTAAACCAGGTTTTTGGTTCTGGTGGATATGGAACTGGGGAGATACCAGAGGGGAGGGGTGTGGGTCCTGTGACCATATCCTAGCTTGTTCCCACATTTGTTATGTGACGTTAGCTTTGATAGTGCCTGCTAGCATGGGGAAGCTAAAGCCATTGCCTAATTTTTAAGATTACACAATGTTGTCACTATGCTGCATTGTTGATGTGTTATGTTGCTAATGATGGTTACCTGTTATTACTCTGATGCTGTTTAATGCTTTTACTGTGTAACGCATTAGCCTCTTAGCTAGCGTAGTTCGACCAGTGTGATGCTGCTTTTGTAGGAGGGATACGTTAACTATCAGACTGCACAAAGTGAATAAAATCAGTTGAATTTTGCATTAAAGTTCTGCAACATTTTGATTCTGGGGCTGTTTTTGTAAGTGACTGCGTTGTTCAGTAACCTGACGAATAGCAAGAAGAGGAAAGCTGTGGTACAAATGCATTTAAAAGGTGATGATCATAAGATTTTCTTACCATACCACCTGGCCTAGATGTCTGCATAAACTGCTTAAACCGAACTGCAGAGAGAAATCGAATTAATGATGCGTCAGTGACCTCAGTGTGGATTCTCTTTGTCTATTAAATGATTACAAATGCCTTAAAGTACTGTACATGTGAGGGGAAATGTCTCTAATACAGCATTACATCAGTGCCGATGTCGGACGATATTAACAGTAGACTATTAATATCGAACATCCCGAGTAATCGCTCTCCATTATTTCACCCAGATTAGAGGGCTTCACAATAACAGATTAAGATAAATTTGCCCCACGTTCCATTTTAATAGAATTATTGTTGAGGAAATTAAAGAAGCTGACAGTTTTATTAGGACTAATACGGTGGTGTAATCCAACCAGTCAACCCTCTCACAGTGTAATCTTCGGTGTAAACCTTCACGGGCAGGTCTCCTCGCTCCTTCCTCAGCACAAGCAGTAATCCCACTAAGGCTCTTATGGAGAAGTGAATTCATACTTCTGAATGAAAGGAGATGGAGGCTTTATGACTGTTACAGACCCACTGTGGCTGCTAATAAATAAACATCTTCTGAATCATCTTAGGGAACTCTGGGAAAGACCACCTTCTAAATGGAGAGGCGCTTTTAACCTGAACTGCAGCTCCAGCCTGTAGATCATGACTCATCCTTCCATCCCCAACATGACTATTTTTGCCTGCAGACGTTAAAGTGCTCCGACTTGAATCCATCACACAAGACAGGAGCCTTGAGAGCCCAGAGGTAAAGGTCAGGTTCATTAAACGGTGAGCTTGCTGTGATTTCTGATGAGAAATGAAGGATGGTGGGAGCAGCTGGTCATTGTGCGTAGCATCTTCTCTCTCTCTCCTGTTTTTAACTGGTGAGTTTTTAATCTATTCCACTTTTCTCCCACAAAGGCCACTGAATATGCATGAGTCCATCCAAAGCAGCAGCACTTCTCTGAAGGACGGATGGGATGAAAGCTCATTTCCTCCTATGACAGGGCCAGATGGGATGCTGTGAGATGGGATTTGATCTCCATCCTCCCAAAGTGCAAGTAAAAAAGGGCCTCTGGTATCAGACACAAGCCCGGGCTTGACGCAGGCAGAAAAAGACAAACCACATCTCTGTTAAATGTTCAGATTAAATGCGCGTCTGACGTCATTTGCACCTTAAACTAAATCAACATCGCAGCATTTTGGGCATCTAGTCTGAGATAATGTGTTTTTATATCTCCAGAGTGCATTTACAGATTAAAGCGACCCTTAGATGTGCGTCAGCGCAGCAGAAACAGGTATTAATGTGGACTGGGTTAAAAACTATGCAAATAAAAAAACCCAGCCAGGAAGAACAGACTAACTGCAATGCGCCGTAACTGATTCAGAGCGTTTCTTACCTCGACGTTTTCCCACACGCAGTAGAACAATACAGCCACCAATGCAGGAATTGCGGTATGCCCCATTTTCTTCTTGCGCTCCTCTGCGTCTCTTTTATTTTAAAAAAATGGCGAAGTTCCTAATGTGCGCTAGTTGTCTCCACCATCAGCTGTCTGGTGCACATCAGCTGGAGTTCTGGTTGACTGCGATGTGTCGGAGTCAGGCTGAGCTGCGAGGATGAAGCCTGGCAGAACCAAGCCCTGTTTCTGCGGGTATTATCAGGCTTCTCCCCGGGCGTCCCTCTGCGCGCTGGTGAAGGGCGACATCTGGTGGTCACAGCTGCAAACGGCACCTTTCCACATCATAGAAAAAAACAAACAATGCTCACGTTTGTTTTTAGCCTGGGCAATAAAACGATTTAGGATAGTTCATAAATTCACTGTTTAGTAACTGTGTTCCACAAACTCACTGGCTCTGTATAGCTAGGCCTACAGCTGCTCAGCTGGCGTCAGCTCAGTGTGTTTGGACCTCTGGACGTGCCAAAGATGACTTGTGGAAGTTCAAAATGAACATAAGATTAGAATAAAAAAGATGAAAGCAGTGTATATCATTGTAGGAGGGGTGTTGGTGCCACAGAGGCTGGCCTGAGTAACTCAGACGGCGCTGATCCGTGTGGAGTTTACCTGCAGAAGACAGCCCGGCACCCAGGGAACAGCTAGAAACTGCTTCGGTGTCACAGATCACCGGAGACCATGCAGACAGACTGGAAGAGTAAGGCGAACACCACCACTAGGTATCACTAATGTCAGCTGAGGAGAGGACACTGAGGCCACTCTTTACACAGGATCATCAGGACTGGACCGTCCTGGTGACCTGGTCAGATCAGTCTCAGCTTCAGCTGCAACATTCAGATGATTTTGCATCGTGAATGCGCGGATCCATCCTACCTGGTGTCAGTGCTGCAGGCTGCTGGTGTCCCGGCGTGGTGGAGATTTGGGTCCTGTTAGGTTTAAACCCCACGGCCCACCTGAGTACTGTTGCTGACCGTTTCCATCCCTTTATGACCACATGGACCCATCTTCTGAGGGGGAAGATAACACAGCATGTCACAAAGCTCAGATCCTTGCTAACTGGTTCCTGGAACATGACCATGACCTCACTGGACTCCAGTGGCCTTCACAGTCACCCGAACGCAGCCTAGTACAGAAGCTTTAGGATGTGTTGCAACGGGAGATTCTCATTTCGAATGTGGAGCTGACAAATCTGCAGCATCTGTGTGGAGCTGTCAAGTGAATATGGACCAATAGGACAAAAGGCTAGTGAGTGCACGTTGAGGTCATCAACCACCTTCTGCTCCACGCCAATTGTTTACAAATGGCTTCCATCCACCTCCCTCACAGGTTAGCGCCTCTCATTACAACCAGGCCTCTAACTGCTGCTGTTCACTCGAGTTTAACGAGAGCTCTGAAACAAACTGAACCACCTTTTTGTTTAGAGTAGCAGACTTTAGCTTGTTATTGCCTTTCAATAGTTTGTACCAGAATGTCTACAGAGCAGAGGTGGGCTCCCAGACGACCACCAACCAGCACGCGTTAGATGTTTCTCTGCTTCATTACCAGACTTTAACTCGACGACGTGCTAACGGCGTCATTCATCCATTTGGATAAGGTGTGTTGGAGCAGAAAAACATCTAAAACATGCAGAACAGTAAACCCCAAACAGGCCACATCTGCACTGAGGTGTGCAGTAACACCAGTCCTTGTAGCACACCTTGAGAGTCACGGTTTATGAGAGTGTGATGAACACAATTTAAAACTCACAAGTCCAATATTTCACATACTTTTATTGATTATGTAACTTAAGAATTTCTTAACGTTTTGATTATCTATTAAAAAACTTTCATATAGTTCAAATAGAAGATAAATCAGGATGAGATTTATTTGAGGAAAAACAATGAAAAGAAAGAAATCCCAACTTCTTCAGGATTTCATCAAAGTACCTTCACCCAACTAGAAAATTTCTAAATGTGTTTTTGTTATTTTTAAATCTTATAATGAAGGAAACAAAACTACATAGGACTTGGGAAACAAAACTTTGGAAGCATTAATCAATAGAAAGAGGAACGGTGCTCGTTGTGAAGCCAACAGTTACAACAGGTTTCTAAGGCTTGTGTCGTTTTCACCGCTGCAGCTAGTCGTGTCAGATCTCCGCACCGGTGAAAAGCATTAGCATCAAAGCTAAGTGAAAATGTCAGAGTTGGGTTTCTTCACCCAATAGAAGCTTTTTCTGATTTAAAACGACCGGAGGATTCACAGCTGGCAGACGGTGGCACGACAAAAACACGTTGGTAGAAAAGAGTCAGAAACACAAACCATCAGTCGATCCGTCGTTCGGGAGTTAGACCGTCTCAGGGTGAGGAATGGCTCAGATTCTGTTTATCTGAAGTCAGAACAAGGCCGGATACTGATGTTAGGAGGGAACCATGACTGTAGATAGGATTTAATCCTAATCCACGTCTGAGATTTGTAGCAGTAGCAGAACACTGATCAGGCACAGAGACCAATACTTTCTGTTTAATGAAGCTGATTAAACCCTGAAACATGTTGGTGGCAACATTTCTGTCTGAGGGTGGTTGGCGGTTTAACGCCGGCTCTGACGAGACCCCTAACAGACCAGAGATCTCTTCTTCATGAAGCTCATGGAACATCAGGGCTGTTTTATTCCAGTTATCAGCTGATCCAATAAAAAGTGTTGCTTTAAGTTATGAAGTTGTGGACAGTCATGATCTTTGTGTTTCACAACGTTTAGACCCAGAAGTTTGAACCCATGAGCAGAACTGAAAGAAAAGCAATAAAAGAAGTCCAGCTGTCTTCTTGACCTCTAGGAAGGACATGTCCAGGATGGAGCATCTACACAAGCAGCAGATAAATACACAACATAAAGAAAGTTCACTTATTCAGTCATTTTGGGATATTTTGTAAATATCTGTGCATTTTTCCTGTAAAAGGTACAAAAACACAACTGAGGAAAAAAATAAATAAATACTACAAAATTGTATCGCAAAGGCGCAGCTCCTCCACGTAGCCAGTAGGGGGAGTACTTGTGTTGAAAAGTAGAGAGCCCTCCAATAAATGTTTTTATTTATTTATTTTTTTACCAAAAAGTTAAATAAGGAACCATTACAGAGAAAACTGAAGTGAAATGAGATTTCGTTTCTCCAAACAGAGAAGCTGAAAGATTTGTTCCAACTCACGTAGTTTTACACAAGTGTCTAAACCGGAAGTTTGTAGATTCTTATCACCGTGAGAGTGCGACAGGTAATTAGGGCGTGGCTTAATCTAAAGGTGTGTGTGTTAGTGTGTCGGTTTCAGGTGTATCAGCATTTCCCCCACCACACCATGTTAGTTTGTATTTAACCGAGCTGGACTCCTGGGAAGGTTATTCTGTAGTTTCCAAGTTTCCAGGCGGATTCTGACTTGTTGAAGATGCATTCTGGCAGAGTTGAATATGGCGTAAGTTTCAAACCCAAACATTTCTAACGCTGTCTGATTGTTTCACTCTGAATGACAGCCTGAGTGTCAGTCTGAAGCTTCCCCTGACATCTCAGTCTGCGTGTTTCAGGGCCTCGCCCGTTTTTATAGGAGCTACTTATTTTGTTCCTTTGACTGTGTGTGTGTGTGTGTGTGTGTGTGTGTGTGTGTGTGTGTGTGTGTGTGTGTCAACATCAATCATTAAAACAGATTTTTATTTGTGCTCATAATGTTACCAATAATGAAATAAATTCTGTCATACGTTTGTGAGAAAGCTGTTAATTGATGAAGACATTCACAGTTTCTTTTAATGCTTTTAGGGAACAAATGATTTATTTTTATCACCAAGATGCTTGTTTGATGTCCGGGCGGCTAAAAGGCCATCACCCTGTTTCTTCACGTTGAAGTTTAAATTTAAAATGCCGTTTCTATTTTAGATTGTTCCTTCAGATTCTAAAATATTAGATGGTTTCTCTCGCTGTGTGTGTGTGTGTGTGTGTGTGTGTGTGTGTGTGTGTGTGTGTGTGTGTGTGTGTGTGTGTGTGTGTGTGTGTGTGTGTGTGTGATGGCGAGGCAGAGGAAAACATTTTAAACCCACAGTTCATGGAGCTGTGTAATTTCTGATTTTTATCATCTAAAGTGACCAAAACAACACCATGTGTTGCCATTACTTGCATGCATTACAGGTTGACCTCATATGCAGACTTATACACTGCCTGGCCCTAAAAAAGTCTCCACCAAAAATAGGTCACACACTAATGTCTTTGGACTACCTTTAGCTTTCTCTTTGGAATTGTTTCGATAAGCTTCTGCATCGTCACCAGATTTATTTCCATCCAGTGTTGCATTAATGTGTCTCCAAGATCTTGCACTGATGATGGTAGAGTCTGACCGCTGCACGAAGCCTTCTCCAGCACATCCCAAAGATTCTCAATGGGGTGAAGGTCTGGACTCTGTGGTGGCCGATCCATGTGTGGAAACTATGTCTCATGCTCCCTGAGCCACTCTTTCACTATCTGAGCCTGATGAATCCTGGCATTGTCATCTTGGAATATGTCCGTGCCGCCAAGGTAGACGGTCATTTAGGATAGTCAGCTGACTTCATTCTTGGTGCACATCCTGTTGCTGAATCTAGATCTGACCAACTGCAGCAAGCCCAGATCATAACACTGCCCCCACAGGCTTGTACAGTAGGCACTAGGCATGATGGGTGCATCACTTCATTTTCCTCTCTTCTTACCCTGATGCACCATCACTCTGGATTGGAACAGGGTCCATCTGGACTCATCAGACCAGTTTTTAATGATGCACTGGGCAGTTCCTAACCCAGTTTTTGTCATTTCTGCAGTCTCCTGAGATGTTTTCTCTGCTTGATGCATGCTAATGATCTGACCCTTCTCAAACAGACTAACACCTTTTCCACGACCACCAGATGTGTCACATTAGTGTTAAAAATCAACCTATAGACATTAATAGTTACATTTTGACACCAGTGTTAGCTTAACTCTCTAAAGAGTTCATTTCAGTAACACAAACACTACAACCAGTGGTTAGGGGTTGTATTAACTAGTCGACTAGTCGACTTCACGGCTCTATAGTGACTTTTTATGCCTGTCATCGACTAGTCGCTGTCACGTGATAATGACTGACAAGATGCAGTCCTCCAGCAGGTGATGAGCCCCTGCGTCGGGAGGCAGAGGCGACACGCTGTGCCAGAGCGTCGGTACTGACACCGGCGTTGAAACGGACATTTAACCAAACTGTGACCTTTTCCCTCTTGCAATTTTACCTTCCCCTCACCCCCATCCTAATCTTAACCAGTTTGTGCATGCAAAGCTCTGATCGTTGACGCGCTCCAGACATCTGCGTCCTGAGCACCGCCAAATCAGGTGTCACCACCTCAAAAACAATTTAAACACGCGATCGTTCATGTCGGCTCATTTCCTTTAATGTTTTCTGTCTGTTATTTGTGCCTGATGCATTTCGCTGCTGCGGAGCGAGGCGCATCACCTGATTTGTTCTCCGGTGACGCACCCCCAAGATTCCACTCTCCGCTCCGCTCCGGCACGAACTCCGCAGCAAAAACGGTCCCGTTGTAGTCGGCCGGCGAGCAGCGGCACTCCTCTGTTTTTGCGGTCGGTAGATCTTTTAGAACTGCAGTTCAAAGGTAACTCATGAGGTGAATATGAATGAACCCAGGTAGCAGTTTCTCTTTAGGATTGAGAGGAGATGCAGGAAGATAATAAACAGGCAGGACAGAAAAATAGTCAAATAAAAAGTTAGTTTTTGTACCTGCTGGTTGCAACAAACGGACACCATTGAAGGTAATCAGAAGTGAGGAACAGAAAATGAAATAATTATTTTAATGTTTAGAGCAGCAGGACCTCTGAGAGGCTGCAGGCGCATCAGTGAGTTTGCGGCCGCTGCGCAGGGGGAGGGGGGAGAGGGCTGAAGCAGAAACTACCGTTGTTAAAATAGATGTGTTTAACTTAGAAAATGTGGGTGCAATTTTAATTGTCAAAAACTCCAGCGAACCTACCGACCCCCCCCCCCCCCCCCCCCCCCCCCCCCCGTGCCGCTTCAGGTGTATGACGTCATCAACGACTAGTCAAAGTCGACTCAATTTTCATTACTTGACTGTCGACTTTAAAAAAAAAATAAGTCATGCAACCCCTATCAGTGGTGAATATTCAGTCAATTTTACACTCTTTAGAGTTAGGTTCAGTTATTAATCAACACCATGAATTAATTAATTTAACTTCTATCAGTGTGTCATGCCAGAAAGCTACCAACCACTCTGTAAAACACTTACTAAAGCCTAGTTTAATGCGTCTGCGTCGGTGCAGAGACACGCAACGCCATTATCCATCCTTGCGAGGGCTCTCCAGCAGATTCACAAGGACTGATGGAGTCGAGCCCACTTTTCTGAACATCCGTCAAGAGACGGAAAACACAAGCTTGTGATTGATCATGACTAGGGCTCGACCGATTTATCGGTTGGCTGATTAATTGGGTAGATAGATTGCATTTTTTCGTCATTGGCGTCGGCCGATTAACCTCTTTAGTAGAGCCGATTTAAAGTAGGGCACCTTCGCGGGCAGCCCACTGCTGCTGGAAGCCGGTGAAGGACCCCAATCCAAAACATTGGAGTAAGCTCTCCCCACCTGCTGGGAGGGCTGCCATTATTGATATATTTCCCTTTTCTGACCACCAGGGGAGCTCAACAGGCACATGGGGGCGTGGTTTTTAGGGGCGTGGTTTGTAGTTTGCTGCGGCTGCAGCTAGGTATTATTGAAACACTGGGGGTGTTTCTTAATGCCAAGGAACCTCGCCTTGATGTCTTGGCCCTGCCCCGGTTGCCTAGGAGATACGTCATCAGGAGCCGCCAAGACGTGTTCCAATCGGTTCCAATGTTCATGTTCTACCGAGGCGTGTGTTCTCCGTTTGTTAGCCGTTTAGCTAGCTGAGCGAGGATACGCGGGAGGTGTCTTGTAGCCTAGCCTTGGTCAAAAATTACCCACAATACACTGCGGTATTTTCCAAAGGATGGCGGATCAGAAGCTGGCAGCTACTTCGGGGGCAAATTTCAAGTTTAAAAGTAATTCAGCTAATTAAAATTGTTTTTTTTTTAGATCAAAAGAAGTTATCTATGGTTGGTTAGTTGCTTAGTGGTTGCAGCTTCGGTTGCTAGTGGGTAGTAACTTACTTTTATATTATATTTAATTTAATAAACATATACACAATTTAAAAAGTAAAAGGCTTGTTATATATTAATATAGAAACTAATACGTATAAAATATAGCGTTATCTCCCGTGTCACATGATGTTACGTGACCGCCGTGGAAGCCGCAGTCACGTGATGCAAGTCTGTTCCATTTAACCGTTTTCTTTGACCGAGGAAGGACAGTGTCCTCGTAAGCAAGGCACCTGGCCTCGCAAGACATCACCTTGCAAGGCAAGGCGCCTTGACATTGAGGAATACCCTGGGAGTATTTATCTCTGAGTAAAAGGTAAGGCTTCTCTTGTGTGTTTCAACATCCTACAGTTATATATTTAGTGTGAATTAAAAGTAAAATATGAAATAATAATTAGCTGAGTGAAAGAAAAAACGAGCCGTAAGAACCGCCGGCAACCGGCAGAATGCTCATGTGTATCGGATTTTGGTATCGGCAATAGAAAAACCAATATTGGTCGACCTCTAGTCAGGACGCTGCTTTCATTAACAGCGATGCCATTGCCCCCTCCAAAAACAGAAAGTGAGCTGAAGAAGAAAGCAGCCGACATGAAGCAGCTTGAAGAATACCTCACAGAAAAACTCTGTGAAAACCAGTGATGCACCGATATGAAATTTTTGGGCCGATACCAATATTCATATCACTGTTATGGCCGATAACCGATATTTGCCAGTACCAATATGCTGACATTAGTGCTTCTAAAATCTGCAGATTTTGTACAGAATGAGAAAGATTAAAGCTGAATTTACGTTATTATGTAGACACAACACACACATTTACGCTTCTGAGATGATTACAATCACTGTCACATGACTAAAACAAATACACAACACTCTCCACCCTTTGAAACAGATAAACAAATGGAAACAAGATGGAAGAAATATCTGTTAATATCAGGTCAGTTTTATTTATCGGACCGATACCGATGACTAACATTGGCCGATGACGATATTGTGCATCCCTAATATAAACACAATAGCAAATGCACCATCTTGGACTGGATACATGATCCATTCCATCTTTTCTTGTAACAGGATACCCCAGAACAGCGCTACGCCCTCTGTTGGCCTGGCAGGGCAGTTCGCTAAGGAGCTGCTTCCCAGGAGACGGAGAAGTCTGAGAGCAACGCGTCTCTTCCTTGTGGAGTGATGGTTGTTGATTAGGAAACACTCCTTTTTAACACTCGAGTTTGACTCATGTCGGTGTTCCATATCAACTATGTCACTTTAGTGTTAAATTAACTATTCT